TGCGTATGAGAGGCCGAGATGGCGGCAACTTCCAGGCGGGATTGAAGGGCTGTGCAGGCGATGATGGCAGAGGAGCTGGATGCGAGTACCTCAATCGAGTGGCGGCAGGCGGCGTGTTCTCCGACCGAATCTGCATCGTCACATTCGATCCAAGCGAACTGCGCTGACCTGTTGAAGATGACGAACAGAGTTAGAAAGCGATCAAGGGATTAATTCATTTCAAGACTCACCTCCACTATTATTGGCGACAATTTGTCTGGCATGTTCCAGCGCCATTTGCAAAGGCGACAACCTCACAGTATTTCCATTAACACCTGCGGTTCTTGCCTCAGACATCGTTGCCCTCCTTGAAATTCTCTTCCTGGGCATGTTGGATGTTTGCCGTAAACGTGCGTTGGCCTCCGCAGCCTCCATAGCTGCCGCAGCATCGTCTTCGTCTGTGAGATCAATTACAGCCTTTTCCATCGGCTTGGCAGGAGCCAGGTTTGGTTGCTGCTGGCCATAATTGAGAGCACTGCCGCCACTGCTGCTGGCTGCGGAAACGGGTACAAAGACGATTCCCGTTCCCTTGGGAGGCATTGCGCGCACTGTTGTTGGCTCTTGTTCACCCTGATTGGGTCCAGGAACAGGGCGGGTTCTACGAGGAATTAGAAGATTCTATAGTAAAAGAGCAAACCGTGTGTAATCGGATGACTTACGTTGGATATTGCTGCTTTTGCGTCGTATAAGGACTCCTGTTCCTCATCGCTGCTGCTGATGCAGTGCTTCCTGTGTGCTTTGAGGCATGCATGGGCCTCTGAGTTCCAGTGGGAGAGGCCTGTACGCGACTATTGTTGGACTGGTTGTTCAGTCCAGGGACTGGACGCTGTGGGATAACCTTTTGCAAGCATCCTCCCCGTACCGGCAGCGCAGAAGCAGTGCCAGGTTCCTGGAATGACTGCTGTTGCGCGTTCGAACGCTCGCCTGAACCGCCTCCGAGCAACTCCTGCAATGGCGAACGTAAAGTAGATGTGCTCCCCTTGGAAGGAGTGCTAGTACTACTAGGAGGCGCCAACAGGCTGAACGCAGCATGTGTCTCATCTCCAACCCTGGTAACAGAAATCTC